TTGCGAACTTGCATTTTGAGGCGTTAATTGTAAGACCGCCCTCTTTTAATAATTTAAAAACTTCTTCTAGATCTTTAATATGTTGTTCCAACGTACTACTCGTTATAATTATATCATCTAGATAGATTAGAGTCGATTTTCCTAGGACAGGCTTTAGAACAATGTCCATAGCTCTCTGGAATGTTGATGGGGCCCCACACAACCGAAAGGGCATGCGTAAAAATGCATAAGTGCCCGATTTTGTTATAAACGCGGTTTTATGTTTGTCTTCGGGTTTCATAGCTATTTGATAGTAGCCAGACGTTAAGTCCAAAGTAGTCATATATCTAGTATATTTGATCTTTCTAATAATTTCCTCTATAACCGGCTAAGGGTAAACTGGGAATTTAGTAATACTATTCAGTTTTCTGTAATCGATAGCAAACCTCCAAGCCCTTTTATCCGAAGGAGGAAACTCGTTCTTTTTCGTACATAGTACGACTGGACTCGCGTACTCACTATTTATGGGCGTTATTATTTTATTCTTTAACATCTCCTGAATATGTTCTTCGATGATTAGGTCTTTTTTGTTTATCATAACGATACGGTTTAGTCCTACAAGGTTTTTCGGCAGTTAACTGTATCTGATGCGTAACTATTTGACAGCTACCAGGCTTTTCTGAAAACAAGTTTGAAAAATTACTCACCACTTGCTGGATGGCTTGACTTTCATGGTCAAATGGCTAAGGTCAACTTGCATCGTTCCACAGGTTCCACCACCCTCTAGTCCATCTCTAGCACAACAGAACTGTCTTGAAAATTCAGTTTGGCCCTCGCGGCCCTTAAAAACTCCATACCTAAAATAAGAGGATTTTGCAGATTCTTTACTACAAAAATTAATACTTTGAGGCTTTCCTCTTTTACCTGTATGTTTAATGATAATTTCCCGATGCAGTGACAGGTTTTTCCTTGCGCCGCTATAATTTCCGTATTTTTGTTTTTAAATAATCGTAACCTATAAAAATTCTTTTTGAAGATTGTTTCGCTCATAAAATTACCTTCTGCTCCTGTATCGATGAGGGCTTCTACTGGTACATCGCCAACCAGGACTTGTATAATTGGTAGATGTGAGTTCTTTACGATGACCGTATTTAAATGTCTTTTTGAGGGTTTTTTAAAAACTTCCGGGGTCTGGACCCTCGCTTTTACAGGCCCCTCTACTCGTTTAAAGCTTTCCTTTCAGTTTCAGTCTTTTGGGTACGCGGACGGTTGTTTTTGAATTTCCTTTTTGGGCCTTGACCTTCGAGGTTCGATGAGTTAGCTTGATAGCTCTTTCCCCCATAAGAGCGGTTTGCATTTCTGGTTGCTCATTTGAAGATTGTCTTCGGGTACTTTGAGAATGCGATGCCCCTCTAGCTTTTTCCGCTATTCTGCGATTTTGAAACTTCACCGCCAATTCGAAGAGCTCCTGCAATGTGCTTGGGTTTCTAATTTCGAAGTAGTCTTGAACAGCAGGTAACAATCTTGGTAAGATTATTTCAATAATCTCCGCGTCGGGTTTCTTCCCATACAGCATATCCGTCAGCTTAATTTTTCGCAGAATAAAGTCTGTCAACTCTTCTATATCCCGTTGATAGAAACTATATAGTTCGGCTTCTAGCCTTGCTCGATCTTTCACTATGGGGAAGGCCTTTACTAACGATTTTTTGAAATTTTCAAATGTATATGTCTGGCTTCCAAATTCCCCTAATAAAAAATTTGCCTATATTCTTCCACCATAGCGCGGCCTGTCCTGTTAGTGTAGATGTGGCGATGGCAACGTTTTGTCTTTCAGGCACAGGGTAGAGCTGAAAGTGATTTTCTAGGCCTTCTAGAAATATCGCCACCGAATTTTTTCCGTCGAAATTGACGTTTGGCTTGATTGACGCTCTCAAAGTCTGGACCAGGTATCCAAATCCTTCCAATTGGCTTGCCATTTCTTGGTGTTGTCCCGCGGCTTCCATCCGATTTTCGGCCATTTCCGTTCGACAAGTGTTCGGGCGCCAATGTAGAGTTGCGCGCCTCCTACCTGCACGCAATCGACAGGTGACTGTTGAAACTGGAATTTAGACAGAGTCTTGCTAAGGGTTTAAGTCCCTTTTTATTCAACTTAAGAAATTACAATTGCGTGCTCTTGACGATCACAAACTACGCCGACCCGGCGGTAAAATAAAAATAAGAACCTGAAAAGTAATAACAAGACTCTAACTACGAGGCTCTCTAAACGTAACTAAACTCACCGCACTTTACTATACCGCTGCTAATTCAGCAAACTTTGAATATCGCGTTGAACGATTAACAATTCTCCGAGGCAAGCACACAGGCCGAAACGCGGGGTTCTTCAATTTCTGGCTAACTACCTCCGCGCTCGTGAAGTAAGAACAGCACATCTCGAACTCGTTTCCTTTCTATTTAACTCAGAATACTTCCGCTGATAATTTGAATCCTTGCGCGTTCTACTAAAATTTACATGCTCTGGCATTGGCAGTTCCAGGGGAAAGTAAGGCGTGATAGGAAAGATAGTTTAAACTTAAAATAAATGTTAGTTAAAATAAATATAAACCGTACATGGTCATAAAAGGAAAACTACTGTGTAGAGACATTAGGTATTTTTTAAGCAGGAAAGATGAAAAATTAGCAACGCCTTCGCCGAAAATTGAAACACAGACCTCTGGAATACGCGCCCAGCATGCAGACCACCACACCACGAAGGACCGCTAAGAAGGCGGGAGAAATACCTTATAACTGAACCAAATGTTATCAAACTTCATAATCGTGTAAGGGAGGGGAACTTATTTTCCACTACAGAAAAAAACAAAGTTTCAAAACCTCACCACCAAGGGGAAATATAACTGTATGCAAAATGAAATAAGGGTCGGAATCTAATTTAACCTTTTGTTACACGAATTGAACATATTGTATACACTTAAGAAACATTGACCTAAAGAAAACTACCATTTTAAGACGTTAAAGACGATAAACGTCAAGTGTGCCATCCGTGTAACGGAGCAATCCTTCCGCGACAACCACAGATTAGCAATTAGAAAATGTGAGATCACAAATCACTCGCAAAAGTGGGCGCATTCCAGAAATCGTTTTCTTACAGATCGCTGATTTATGATTTTCGAGGCCTGAATTCAGCCCTAAGACATGAAGATATCGGTTTAAAACATTTTAATCATTTCTAAAACGAAACTGTTTGTTTGGTTATGCAAAACCGCAGTGGCTTGTAATTGGCTTACGGCAGGAAGAAAAGTATGATTTATGCAAATAATCTAAACAATTTGGCGTACTTGAAACATGCGATACACCGCTATGTCCGTAATATTTCTCCTGATATCCTAAGAGCTGCTGTTGAGAATGCAGTAATAGGATTTAACTTGCTTTCGAAAAATAATGGACACCACATTGAACATGCTTTGTGACACGTTTCAGAAACGATTAAACGCATTTTAAACCCATGTCTAATTTCGTTTAACAATATTGCGTACAACCCTGGTTGTGAGTTTCTAAACTTCATTTTTCTGCGGAACATAAATTCCCATGACCTCCTTCACACGATTACGAAGTTTGATAACATTTAGTCCAGTAATTTTTCCTTTTATGACCATTTAAAAGTGGAACTTTAATTATAACCACCCTGTATTAAGCAAAGAATTTGTAATTGATTTTGCTAAAAGTAAAGATAAATATTTCTACACTATTTCAATTATGAAATTACGCCAGCTCTCTTATCGTTGTTGCCTTCTCGCTCTCTCTTCCCTTTAGGAAAGTAACCTTCATGTGCTTTGCCGCAATTAAAGAAACCAAACCAAACCGAGAAAAGATATAAAGAATTAAACAAGTAACTACTAAAACCATTACATGGTGCCGTGTTAGTTCTACAGTGTTCTACAGTTGTATTTGACTTAATCGATTTATTAGGTCAAATTTTGCACAATTCACCTTGAGCCAAAATAAGAGAAAAATCACTGCCTACCTAAAATTGCAAAAAATCTACCTCCATCCTCCCGAAATGACGCTTATTTACTCTGCGTAAATCTCAGGCAGCGCCAAGTACCGCAGCTAGTCATAAATAATAATGCTACTCAGCAGAACAAATAATTGTAAAAGCTGAAGGAAAACCTGAATATTAAGCAATTTATCCTTAGCACATGAGAAATATCATTAATTTCTCAAAACACTCACAGATTAAACTCTAAAACGCAGTTCAACTAACTATCTTTAAACCATGTCTTAGAGCTGATTAACAACTGATCGATACTTGTTTGGAGCGATATTAACGTGCTGCAGGAGCATCAGGAAAAATCAGTCCTCACGCTTCAAAAATGCGTTTTCTAGGAATATCCAGAAAGTAGCCAAGTTGGCGATAAATTGCCATATGTCATCAGCTTGGTGATAAAACTTGCTGCCAACATAAGTTAGGGCGTTTCTGCTCACATTTTGCGTTCTAGCTGAGCAATTTTAGCAATTTAAACGTCGTTGGACTGAAAATTGAAAGATCCGTAATTCTATATAAGTAATGAATACTTATTTAAAACACATGCCTGTAAATTCAGTTAAAAATAAAATAAACTCTAAAACTATTATATCAAAAGTAACAAACAAATCACTGAATAAAAATAACTAATCTTACAGCAATAGTTAAAACTAAATGCTATAACAAACGACAAAAACAACATAGTGTTATCAAATGAACTTAAATATTTGCAGGAATTTCCAAAAATACGAAAAAGAATGTTATAAATACAGTCGAAGTTAGAAAATGATAGGAAAAGTATCTGAAATTCGTGACTTAATTTAATATTCGCCAAATCTAACAAAATCCGCTGAATCTCTGTTATAAAATTACCGCTGAATCTCTGAGATAAAATTTTTGCATAATATATGTTTTAATGCAAGTAATGATATTCTAATCATAATTTAAAACACGAATTATTTACGCTAATTGATAACTAAATTATATCGTTTTCATTTTTCAGATTACGTTCTGGTTTACGAAGATGTTTATGACGATAGGCTTAATCCCAGGACTCACAAACACGAGGCTTGGAGAAAGAAGTTCATGGCAAATCTCGTTAAAGCTGGATTACTTATGGAAGAAGTTAGTAATCTTTATATATAAGTGGCATCTATTTATTTCTTTTAAGCTGTAATAAGATTGTTTATGTTTTGATCTGTTTGAGTGCTATACATAGTGCTTCAAAAACAAAACAGTCACTTTACTTCTTTTATAGAATTTTCTAAATTACTTTAATAGTCTCTAAAGAAGTCAATGATAAAAGCCTTTACTTTAATAACCTCTAAGAAGGTAAATGATAATATCGTTTGCAATTTGACAATTTTATTAAAAGATCGTTAGACTATCAGTATTCATTGTAAGCTGTCAAACATTATCAATATATCCAGAGAATACACGATTTAGGAATGTAAGCTACCTCTAGTATACTGAAAAAAAATTTCCGAGTTTTCCCGTGGTGGATCTTCTGTTTCCAAACCCTCCAATTTTGTTTATTAAATGGGAAAGTGCTTCATCTCTAAAGCAAATGCATCGGACATCAATCTGTTATCATCAATTATATTCAATACATCGTTTGCGAAGTCTACTATTTTCGTTCTGCAGCACAAATTAATATTTGCTATCATAGGATTTTGTTCGAAACAACAACTTGGGCGTATACGAATGCTCTATGCTGATGATGATTTTAAGTGCAGTTTTTCCGATTTGTTACCCGGGCTACATTGAGTAATTAATTGCTTGGATAGACTTTCAACTGTAATTGTAGGTAACATTACCAAGACGCTCCTTACTAAAGCAACTTCAACATTTCCTGTCTCTTCAAATTTTGCGAAGAAATCTTGAATTGCTTACTGAACTGGATCTTTCTGAACTTTGTCTTTGTTTTGTCCTTTTCAGGCTACAATCTGATTAATAGTATTCTTTATTGATCTGGACCTTTCTGAACTTTGTCTTCGTTTTGTCCTTGTCAGGTTACAATCTGATTAATGGTATTCTAATATAATAAAAGTCCTTTGCTCCAACCCTGTCTTTCACTTCAATACTCTTTCGCATCTCGTTGGCGGAGCAGAAGGCAAACTAAACGAGAAGTCTACATGAAATCAGTTAGTTGTTGGAATGCATGCATGTTTGAACGCAACGCATATATCTGCCTGCACACATGTCGACTTCAGCAATTAAATAATGTAAAAAATGTGACCATCTGAGCCACAGTTTCTAACAGTGAAATCAGAGCCTTTTCATCATGCACAACCATTTACCATTAACTAGTATATCACAATAATGGATCACACGAAAAATTTCTAGGAGGAATGTTATAGTAGAAAGCAAATATTGAAAGTAAATAATCTTGAAACGTGCAAGGAAATGAGAAACAAATGCAGCTCAATCGTAGCCGCAATATCAGATTAGATGCTCTTTTGCAGTAGCAGTTTTTCCGGTTGGTTTTGCGAAGATATCTTAGGCCGAAAGGTGATGTATTGATGTTTTGGCTTCATTGCTTGTGTTATGTAGTTTGCTCGCAATTTCAACGATTTCCGAACAATTCAACAACTATTCGCGGTAGTTTTATTATTGAAAGCAGCCAAGCGGTTGTTTGATTTAGATTTCAGCTTCGAGAATTTCTATCTCCTTCCCAATTTGAGGTGTGTTTTCCTGTCCAATTTGTACCGAATTGCTCCGAGTCTCTGGATTTGCGGCAATTTCCTGTACATTTCCTGTACATTTTCATGGACGATGACATGCGTATTGCGTATGGTGAAATTGCTGGCAGCAGAACTGTACAGTATCGTATCGGCCATTAATACGATTCAACTTTTATTCAAAAACTAGTAAACCCTCGATTCTCTAACGTATCAAATAAGCAAACGCGTGAAACACGCTGCGGTATAATTGCGTGGGAATGAGGATTGGAGAATTAAAAAGTAGAGAATAAATTCGATTTTAAAATTGTATATACTGTTACGAATTTTGTATATATGTAAATAATTTTAGAGAAATTATATTTGAAAATGTAGTATCTTTTGCGTAATGTAACGTGAAATGCTTAGAAAAGCGAAGCTGTGCCGGAAAAATATGATTAGAGGGGCAAGTCTATTTAGCATTGAGGTAAATAGTTATCGCACTAAATTGGCGAGATATTGCCAAGCTGGCGATGGTTTTGTTAACTAATTTTTGTTGCCAAATTTGGGGAGAAATCGGAAAAACTTACCAAACTTGGCGACATTTGGGTCTGGTTCATGTGTAACTGTAATTGGTGCTATAACTGAAAAACTGTAATTGATTCCTATATGTAACTCCGTATCCGGCCCTTACGTATAACTTTAACCCTTACGGTTATCCTTTAATTTAAAGAAAGGGAAAATATTGGACATTTCTCAGCTGCCGGGGAAAAACTAGATATGATCGGCTAGATCATCAGTTCTCTGTAGTTTTTAGTTTAGAGTATTGAGATCTCCGTGAGAGTTTTGCCTTTTAGATGCGCTTTGTATTGAGTAACACTAGGTACGGTGTGAATTCATTTACCACAGAATGTAGTTCAAAGTATCACATCAATAAAAACATGCTATAAGCTGTCAATATTTTTAATAAAAAGGAAATAACTAAAATTGCAAGCTATTAGCATAAAAAATTATTTATTTAGAAAGTTTTATTGATACACATAACAATGAATCGAAAGGGCAAGGTCAGCAAAAATACCTCCTATTGAAGAACCTTACGTGAACAAGGTCAAGAGAAGGGAGACTGCGAAATTTCTTGTGGTCACATTAAACGTTTGCTGTGACTTGCATGAGACATCCGTACGACATTCACATCAATATCACAATCTGACATTTCTGCGACGTTGTTCGTGGTCACAAATGTAATGTGAAGAAAAATGTAACATTGAGATGCCATTGCAACGTCGTAGCTACTAAGTGTGCTATATGGGTGGACTCTTGGTTATAACTCATGCTAATGAATGGCATTTTCGTTGTTGTTTTGTACACATTATCGTCATACAATAGACTATATCCATACTTAATTTCATTTATTTCTCGAGATATTTGGGTAAAAGAGTTCCATCTCTTAATTTTGTCCACCAGTGTAGTTACATCTACTAAAAGAAGTGAGTAATAAATCTAATTTTTAAAAAATGTATTAAAATTTAATTACAATTATTATTACATTTAGATATTAAATTTGATGTTCGTTCTTTTCTGGTCTCTTCAAAGTTATCGCTAGCAAAAGTTTGCAAATTTTTTTGCCTTTGTCTAAAGTATTTGTCCAGATTTGGCGTCTTTAAATGGCTCTTTATTTCACCAGTGAGGATGGAATTTGCAGAACGCTTATATAAAACAGATCGATAAAGATAAAAATATGTTATTCTCTAAAAGAAAAGCAAACTCATAAGATCCACTACTTTCTCGTACTCTGAATAGCGAAAATTTCTATCACAGTATGGGTCTTGAATAAAGCTCTTCCTAGTAGTTCAATCAAAGAATTTGAGTAGAATCAGAAAACTTAGCCACGTGTTTTAGTTTATTGCATCGTACGGTTTTCTAAGGTATGCTTATTCTATTGTATCATCTTTCTCCTACAATTCTACGTCACATCTTTCTCGCATGGCATTTGTTTAGAACACAGAGGAAACTGAAGATGAAGATAAAGATAAACAGTAGAAAGTGTCTTCCTTTACAGTTGGAATATGAATCCTAATATCCTACACATGGATGATTTTAACTGCTAGGAATCTTTTTCGTTCAGACTTACAGATATTCTAAAGAAAGATGAAAAATACAAATAAAAGTTTCAGTTGAAGATATCCTTACAGTTCGTCACATTCGATTTTCAGACTCTTAAAGGTTAGCTTTAACAGTATAAAATAACATTAAATATCTAGTAAACTTGATGAGACCAAAGTGCGGTTCGTTATATCCGGGAGTTCATTGTAGCGAGGTTTACTGTATCTAGAAATCTCGTGATTTGAAATCAGTGTTTTGCTAGTCAGAAAAGAGTAAGCTATTTGTCCTTCAAATTTAATTTACAAGTTAAGATACAATAACACGCCGAACAAATATTAATTTAGAAGTCAAACAACAAAAATCAGTGTTTATATTTTCAAATTTTCACAGGACTAGTTTCAATGATTTTACCGAACCATCATCCTCAGCTGCAAAAGCGCAAATGCCATTTTTTGTTGTTTAACTTCTAAATTAATTTAAAAAGTTAGTGATTTAAAAGAAATCTCAGAATATTCTTTGTACTTTATTTCTGTTGCCACTGCCTGGAATAAAATGTTTTTGTCTTCCATTTGACATTTTGTTGCCATTCGGCAAAACGTAAGACATTCATACATTTATTTATTTATTCTAATTTAATCTATCTGTTACTTATTAACAAACTACCCATTTAAAAACACTAAAGGCAGTTCTGCATCTTTGTTACTGTGAAATAACACCAGCTGGACTCAATAGATTATTATATCATTTTTCTTTTTTAGAACAACTAATTTAGGTGACTAGCCGCGCAGGCTGCAAGTATGATTAAATAGTCTAATACCTTTTTTGGAATACCCATGAGTAGCTTTGAATTTCCGTGTAAAGTAATGGATATTCCTAGAATGTGTACTCATTTGCATTCCTTTTTAGACTCCACCTTGATATACGGCGCGTCAAATTTAGCCCGAAATGAGTAGGAGAATAACAGCACAGTATAAAAAATTAACGATGTCAAAACTCATTATTTAGCTTTGAGGCTGGTGCTTTTGAAATTAACTTTTTGACACTGTTGTTGTCAAGTCATTTGTTTGCTTATTTTTTCCTGCATTGTGTCTTCCCTATTTAATTCACATGTTTTTTGTTAGTTATCTTTCATTTCACATGTTTGTATTAACAAAGAATGCACAATATTTCTAATTTCGCTTATGCAGTGAATTTAGTTAAAGTTTTAAGTTTACCCTTTATTTTTTTAATGAATTCTTTTTCGCAAGTACATTACCCCCAGTTTACAAAAAACAAATGAAGTAGCATTTTTTCCCGGGGGATAGGGGTGACGTGACTTCTTTTTGGAAATAGTCACATATGTTTGGCACATATGTGACTATTTATTTGTTCTGAACATTCATAAATCTAAGCATTGGAATATAATTAAATAACCAATAAATAATTATTGACTAAAATAACACCAAGGACATGCTAAAGCTACTATAGCAACTTGAGTCAGCCTTCTATGCGTACATTTCAAGGACTAGTTTCAAAAGCTAAATAGAACCTTCTTCTTCAGCTGCAGAAATAAAAATGATGAAGGAGAAGCATGTGCTGATACGATAATAATAGACAAAAAATTGGAGAAAGTTTCAGGTATGGGAGAGGAAAGAAAAACTAATGATGTCATCTACTAACAAAATGTGAAAATGGCTGTGAAATAATATTGTTACGAAATGTACAGGCGCGGTAAAATGGCTTCTCCGGAAAGCAGTTTTAGGGTTACCATAAAATGGCAAGGGCAAGCAGGGTTACCACATTTGGCGAGAAATCACCCATTTGGCGACAAAATTGGCGATATACCATGGACGGATGGAAAACCTTCTGGAGCGAATTCTTACCGGTTTAGCCCAGAATGTTCTCGAACACAAGCCGAAAGCTATATAAACCCTGCTGGTCCGCAGTCAGTTAGTGTGTGCCTCGTCTAGCGAGTCATGAGCGAGTGATAGTCAGTCATGAGCGAGTGTCTTGAAGTCTAGCGCCGAGTTGGTCGTCGAGTGCATCGAAGAGTCTCTTGGTGTATCGCGGTTAGTGCATCGTCGAGAGAGTATGTTAAGCTCCGGGAACGACTGAACCGAAGAGTCTGGTGCTATGCTCTGTGTGTTGTCGAGTGCATCGCGAGTTGTAGCGTAGAGAGTCTGGAGAGTACGTGGAGTTCCGAGAACGACCGAGCAGAGTCGGAAGCTGTGCTCTGGTGCTTTGCAGTGCGTTGGCAACATCTGTGGGAGACAGAAACCACCGGCAGAAGAGTTTACAGATTTTTTCCAAAAGTCTGCCGGCTTCTAAAATCTGGCTCGTCTCACTTCACTCAGTATCTAACAGGACATGGTCCCTTCATGACTTACCTGCATCGCTTCAGACGACGCGAAAACGAGCATTGCTCATGCGGGATGGTAGGAGATCCGGACCACTATCTGTTCGCTCGCAGAGAGACCGCCAATAAATATCATCTTAGGCAACCAGTAGCAAACCACATCCATGCATGGGCCGAAGCTATTTCGAAAAATCGCAATGCATTGAAACGCATATGCGATTGCATAAACATTGCACGCATAATCTCAGACAGGCTGGAGTAATTCTCAGCCACCATCCTCGTCACCAGCACAGCCCCCTGTATGCTCTGTACCTGTAGCGAACTAATTTTATCTTAAATTAGCTTTATTCGGCTTTTCTTATTCCCTGTATATATTTATCTTCTTGAACTGTAAACTCTGAATTGTGTACCTTGAATTATGAACCTTGAACTATGTATTTTGCCTTATTTTATGTATTGTTTTTCCACTGTTTTGCCTTTTTTTTATTTTATGCATTGTTTTACTTTCTAGTATTTTACTTCTTATTACTTTTAGTATTTGTAACCACCTATCCATTACTCTGTAAATATGTAACTAGAATTGTTCTTCACGCCCGCAATGCACCCTTCTTCCATCATGCACTATCGTCTTCGTCCAGCATTTGTTTGCACTGCCCCCAGCAGTCGTCTTGAGCACAATATGTATTTATAAGTGTGTCTTTTGTTCAAGTTATTTCCGTCAGCGGGGCTACCTGGCCGATATGCTAACTACCCAGTGGACCGGCTGCCTCGCTGTCGGTGGAAAGAAAGAAAGTGAAGCTGTCTCCACCGATATTGCATGATAGTGTGAAGCCTGTGTCGCTGATTGTTCCAGCTTGTTTATAGTAGATCTTCGACGACTGTAAAAGTGTTTTGAAGCTGTCCTGATTAATATTCATAAATAAAGTGTGTTTCGATACTTTATCAAGTATCGTTATTCACTCCAAATCTACGAACCCCGTACGAACGTGAAGGAAGAAAATAACGTAACAACTGGTGTCAGAAAAAAAACGCAACAACATTTTTAAAAGCTGAAGACAGATTAGAATTCGGATTATTATGAAAGATTTTTATGACAATCAATCGTCTTTAGGAAATCTAATTCACGAGTGCCAGATTTTTTTCCGCTTGGATAATTTTGGCTGCAAAGAAATAGAAAAGGAATTAAACGGAAATGTGATTAGTTCCGTTAGATTGTGCCAGTATTTTCACCCCCCTTTTCCTTAGCTGGAACTTTCTCAGTTTATTTGACTCTTGTTATCGCGTGACTACATGTTTAACCATTTTTACATCTACAGCTGAAGAAGACGGTTCTATTTATCTTTCGAAACTAGTCCTGCAAATTTACGTTAATTCTTGCTGCTATACTGTCTTTAATACTTAGCAAATGCAACAATAATTTTCTAACTGTTACGTATTAAAATGACGTTATATAAAATTTATTTCGGAAAGATCACTAATCAAACAAACTTAAATTCTATTCATTTATGGTATACTATCATTTAAATGAACATTTATATTATTCAGCATTTCGGATTTAATGTTCATTCTGAAGTTACTATGAAATCCTTTTGAATCATCTTTACCCAGTTATAAGTATTTAATATCTTGGCTACTAGATATATATTAAACATATTAAGAGGATCTCAAACATCTACGATGACTGTTTTAATTTAGATCAGTTGCATTTAGATTATTTTCAGTTGCAACTGTAATTCTATGAAACCACTATTTTTGGAAATTATTATCTGTATTCTCTAAAATCATTGTTTTTAAATTAATATTTGTATAAACAATTACAACTGTAATTCTGTACAAGCATTGTTTTGAAATTATAATTTGCATTTCGCCATTGTTTCTAAAAAAAAAGCATGTGTCGTAGGTATTTTCGTATTTTATAGCATCACGAAATAGCTCAATATTTGAAATAATTGTTTGATTTCATTCCCACTGTATTCATTATATTTCAGTGATTTATTTCCCGCTTTGAAAACAATTCATCTTTATTCAAGCTTATCATATGGGTCTTCACGTTTTTGGAATTTTCACTAGCTTGCTCGTATTTTTTTTTTCTTTATATTACTCTGTATTTTGTATTATTCTTGTAATACTGCATTTTTGTTTTTCGCTATATGCAACATCAAAATCATCTCCTGCAATGCTTTATTTCAGTTACCAGAACTCTGTTCATTTGTATCGTTATACATATATTTCAGGAAACTGTAGAGAGTGATACAAAAGCCATTCATTTCATCAAATTATCTGCTCCTTGGCCTGTTTTAGTTCTTTATGCTGAACAGCTGTGCATGAGAGCCCCTCTACAAGTAAGTAAAATATATTATTTTTCGCGGATCATTAAGGAAACTGTTTTTGCTTTTATTTTTTAATTAACAGAGCTATAAGTTATTTTCCATCATAAAACTTATTAAGCATGTATTATTTTATATTATTTCTGTTCAGTTTTCATGAGTAATAAAGAAGTATGTAAAGCAGCAATAAAGTGAGAGTAACAAGTAGAGTGCAACTTTTTGAACAATTTTTACTTACTTATAATGTGCTAAGCTTGGTCAAAAAATAACGCGCTTTCCATTGCAGCTCTCTTATAGTAAGCATTAGATAAATGAAATTTTGTAGGTGGTAAGCATTTGTCCTTTACTACTGAACCTATATTTAATTTTTATTTCTTGTTAAAGTAACATGGCAACCTAATCCTCCAATGGGCAGTGAACGAATTCCTTTATAAATCCAAGGATAATTCGACACCATCGATTTACAGTAAGCTGATTGTCAGTCTCTGTAGGCAGCACAATGAATCAAAGTCATGTCTGTCGATGTCTTTAGAAATTTTGGCGTGGTAATTGCAAAATCCTGTTCAAGGCATAGTCAGGTCAACAGTCAAGCATCAGTCATTGAGAACTCATCAAAATGACAGATGGATTACGACAGGAAGACCCATCTGTGTTAATTCTAATCCAGCGACTAGGATACAGAAAATTTTTTGTTTGCATTGTTTCATTGCTCTTAACAAGGGAGATGATGCGAATCAGGAAGAACGCATGTGATATCCTTTTGCAAAGTTTCTCTGCGGATCGTCCAGAATATTTTCATGGAATTGATGAATTTGGCTGCTTCATTTCGATGCTGATGGACATGCATTTCATTTCATGGATACAAAGATGCTGTAATGCCCATAAGCAAATAGATCATATATTGAGTGAAATTTTCAAAGGACCAATGCTTGTACCTACAAAATTGCATTTCCCTTAAGCTAACTGTTACCTAATTACAGTAGACTCAGTGTTACGTTTTAACCGATCTTTGTATTTACCTTAGGAGAAATCTTTCAAAACAAGTTTCTTAAAAGTGCAAGGCTGTTTGACTATATGAGCATAATTTCTGACTTGTCAATCGTTATTAATTTATGTAAGGAAAATAATAGTAAATTTTTGGGACGGCACCAAAAAATCAAGTTATTTCAATGCAGCTTTGAAAAGAAAACAAAATTGAGTAAATGTAGGAAGGCAGAAAACTTTTGTGTTCTACTCTTTCAAGACATCGCTGGTAATCTTGACCAGTGCCAGTTTCGTAAGCGCACAGAAATTGGTCTATCATTCCGTAAAAGCACTTGAAACAACAGAAAACATAGCTGTTTAAAAGTTAATCGATTACTACAAAAGTATAACAATAAAGTTCAGTGAATGTATTCACTGGACATAAACAAAGCATTCAAAATCTAAAACAGGAAAAAAAATTTTCTTTTCCTTCGAAGTAAAATCCATCGTCTGCAATTCATATTTTGCAACGAATGTACAGTTGTTGAAACCTGTGGGCTATATTTCTCTTTCAGTATCTCATGAATAACTCTTGTCACATGGCTTTGAATTTCTAGAATATCCCGTAATCCTCCTTTTTAGGGCTGTTTCAGGTACATAAACAGAAAGAAATCATTTGGAGTAAGTACCGTGGAGGATCAAGGTCTACAACTCTTCTACGTGCCGTAAACTTTCATAATGATGGCTGAATGCGGGTAGGGAGAAGGAATTAAGAGCCTGCCTTGGCATGTTCTAGATATTCACGAGGGATCCAATGCAATAAATTTGCTGGAACATTGTTTTACTTGTTAGCATTCATTGTTGCTCTTTCTAGCTAACATTTTCAATTTATGAGTGTTTTCGTCACAACAAGGACTCATACGATTACCACTTTGAGCAGCATCTTCAATTGAATCCAGTCCATCCCTAAATGCTTAAAATATTCATAAACTTACTTTCAAAATAAGGCTTCATCGTAAACTTGTTTCTGCATATCATAACTTTCTTTTGGAGATTTACCGAGCTTGAAACAGAAGTTTGAATTGTAACAGCTTTAAATAGTATTAAAATCTTGTAGTTTAAATAATTTAAAGAGATGAACATTAAATTATTTGTGAATGGCAATATTTGAAACCAGACTCGAGTGCCACGTGCGACTCTCGCACGAAGAATGTAATTTATTTTTAAATGTTAGAATATGTTTTCTTTTCTTGTTTGTATGTCGCCATTTTTTTAGTGTTAAATAAAAGTTATTGCTGTGTTCCATCATTGGAGTTGCTTCATATTGCCAAAGAAGTATTACAGTCATAATTATTTTGGAGGCACTGACCGAGATCGAATAATCGTGCGTATTTTTATTTTATTAGTTCATCACTGAACGCAATATTAGTGATACCAGATTATTACTTCCTGTTAATAATAAATTGTCTTATTTTATTACCGCATTTGATATTATATTTAATATTCATTTTAGTTGTGCAGACGGTAGATATATATATTGCTCTATGTTATTATTCTTATTTTAATCACAATTAATGTGGTAGAGAGAATGAACTTCATATAATTTAAATATTTCATTTTTGAGGTATACGTACTTAACAAAGTGCATTTAATTTCGTGATTCCTGACTGCATTAATTAATTAAAGTAATTGAATTGAGCTATTTTGAGGAAAGTATAAAGAACACAGTGTTCGTTAATTTTAAACATAGAAACAATGTCTTACTTAGGAAGAGCTCGTAAGGAAGATTTGCAAAATCTCGCGGCTGAACTGGGAGTTCATGTCACTGCAGATTTGAAAATAGTCGATTTAAAACAGAAAATTGTTGAAAGTAGAGATTATGATGAAGTATTCGTCAAAGGAGTCTTAGACACAATAATAGAAGAACGGAAAGAGAGGGAGGAAAGGGAAAGAGAAGAACGTAGGAGACAGAAAGAAGCGAAAGAGCGGAGAAGGAAAGAACAGTATGAATTAGAGAGATTAAGACTTGAAGCAGAGACAAAGTCTCAAAATACCGGACAGATCCGGCCGAAAACGGAGCTGCGTCACCTTATGCAGAAATTCGATGACAAGAAAGGAGATATCAGTCTATATTTGCTATTGTTTGAAAGGCAAGCAGAATGGGCTAAAATTGATAAAGAAGAATTTGTATCTCATTTACTAGGACTACTTCCTTACGAAGTAACCCAGTTAATAGCTAGAGAACCCTCCGATAAAGCTAAAGACTATGAACACGTGAAGAATTTATTGTTAAGACGGTTTAAACTAAGCCCGGAAAAGTTTAGGCAGAAATTTATGAAACATCAAAAGAGTACCGAATCCACATGGGTGGATTTCAATTATGAAATAGAAAATTATTGCAAAGAATGGGTGACTGGTCTAGGAGTTAAGACTTTTGATCAGTTGCTAGATTTGATGGTGATTGACCAACTTAAGCGTCGAGTTCCTCCTGAAATTCGAGATCATTTTCTTGATGAGTGGGTAGAGATGATTTCATCTAAAAAATTAAAAAATTAGCTGAAAAACTTGATGCCTATGAAAACGTTTGCGGAAACTTTAAAAAAAAGCCTGTAGTGGATAGGCAGAAAGAAAGATACAAAATAAAACTGAAAAAAAATGTCATCAGGATTTAATTCGCAAAGCTGGTTTCATAGACCTAGAAGTCCACGTCCAGATGATAAATATGAAAAACGAAAGACGCCACAATGCTATCAGTGTGGGTCCTATCAACATTTAAGGGCCCCAATGTCCAAAACTTAAGAATAGTACTGAATCTCCTGCTAATCTTAACAGAATTAGTGCAAAACCAGAGGATAAATTTCTATTACCTTATACTAGTATGGGTTACGTAAATGGTCATAAAATTCCTATATTAAGGGATTCAGGTGCTAGTATTGATATAGTTTGTCGCAAATACATCACGCCGGAAATGCTGACAGGTGAAAATGTGTGGGTGCAACAGCCATTAGACTTGAATCCAACCTGTTTACCATTGGCTGAGATCGAACTAAATTGCGATCTTGGGCGAGTAATAACTAAGGCTGCCATTATTAGAAATGAACTCGACAAAGGAAGGTATTTATTAGGCAATCGAACTTTTGCACTGTTGAATAAACAAGGAAAGGAAGCCTGATAGTTGTCCTCACCAGGTTAATGCTGTCTCTACTAGAGCTCAAAGGAAAAGAGAAATAGCTGAAGAGAAGATCTTGGAACCGATGAAGGAAGAAAATAAAGCATCCAGAGATGTTTTTGAAGAAGAAGATAATTTACCGGAACTAAATACGGAAGATGAAGCTCTCATGAAACTGGTAAAAATTGACTCAGAAGAAATTGCACAACTTCAGCTTGCTGATAAGGAACTGTCTAAAATCATCCAAGAAGTTAAAGAAGGTACATGCAAAAATGAGAACTATAGTCTGACAGGAAAAGAACTTTTAGTTAAAAAAACGACGGATAAAATGGGCTTTGAAAGACAGCTTGTCGTTATACCTGAAAAACTCAAGCCGTCAATTATAAAGATGTGCCACGAAGGAACTTCTGGTCATTTGGGTGTCAAAAAGACCAAAGACAGACTTGCTAGATATTTTTACTGGACGAGGTGTTACAAAGAAACTGAAGATTTTGTAAGAACCTGTGATGCTTGTCAGCGCGCTGGAAAAGGAAATGACAAAAAGAAGGCTCCAATGACATTAGTACCAGTAATTTCCGAAATATTCACTAAAATAAATGTCGATGCCGTTGGTCCGCTACCTATTTCAAAGACTGGAAAAAATATATTATTACAGCTCTGTGTATGTCGTCCAAATATCCAGATGCTGTGCGGTGACAGACATTTCTTCGCCATCTGTGATTGATGCTTTCTTACAGATTTTCAGTCGTATGGGTTTTCCCAAAAGTGATCCAAACAGATCAGGGGACCTCTTTCGTCAGTGCTTTGACAGAGGAATTTTTGGAGCGTTTCGGCATTAAACATGTAAGAAGCTCTGTGTATCATCCGCAGAGTAATCCCGTTGAGCGATTCCATAGAACGCTAAAAAGGGTGTTAAGAGTCGTATGTATAGGAGCGACTTCGGATTGGGAGAATTATCTACCATCAGTTCTTTTTGCTCTCAGAACAGTCACACACGAAAGCACTGGTTTTACACCAGCAGAATTAGTTCATGGCAAAAACCTACGAACGCCAGTCACTTTACTTTATGAGCAGTGGCTAGAACCGATTGAAGAAAGTAATAATGTTGTCAGTTACGTTTTCGAACTTATTAATCGAATGAAGAAATGCCAAGAACTTGCCGTGGAAAACATGAAAGAAGCTCAACAACGGAGGAAAACATGGTACGATCGAAACGCAGTGAAAAGAGAATTTGCTAGAGGAGATTTAGTTCTTGTTTTATCAACGAATCGTCAAAATAAACTAGAAGTACAGTGGAAAGGACCTGGAAAAATAGAGCAGAAAATTTCAGAAACCAATTATATTGTAAGTTTCGAGGAACAAAATGAGCCAAATCAAGTATATCACATTAACATGCTTAAACCATATTACAAAAGACCAGAAATGATTAATATGATAACTGAAGTGGAAGGAGACTTAGAAATGGACATTCCTCGTTTACCTTCCAATCCAAGTATATTAAATTTCTCGGACATCATAGAGGAGAATGAACTCGAGAAAAGGTTGAAATCCGAGCAAATAGAAGATTTACGAAAGATTTTATGGAAATATTCTGGTTGTTTTTCAAATAATCCTGGACTAACAAACTTAGTTTGTCACGATATTGAGCTATTAAATAACGAACCAATACAAATAAAGCCATACAGACTGTCACCCCCCGACAGACTGAAATTCTCAAAAAGGAAATACAGAAAATGCTCGATCTTAAAATTATAGAGCCGGGAGAATCGGACTATACAACATCTCCCATGATTTTGATAGAATCTTCATCAAAGGATCCTCGGCCTTGTATTGATTATCGTAAACTCAATGCTGTTACTAAAACTGAATACTATCCTTTGCCTAATATTGAAGAACGTATCGAAACTGTAGCAAAAGCAAAATATATTACCCTATTAGATTTATCTAGAGGCTACTGGCAAATTCCGTTAACAGAAAGAGCCCAAAGATATGCAACATTTGTAACTAGTTTTGGAAGTTTCAGGCCTCTACGTTTACCCTTTGGATTAAAAAATGCCCCATATTTTTTTAGCAAAGTTATGACTAAAGTCCTGGCTGGATGCGAAGGTTTCGCTGTACCATACCTGGATGACATTGCCATTTACTCAGAAAACTGGGAAGAGCACCTTAAAAACTTAACTTCTGTTCTAGAGAGAATACAGAAAGCAAATTTACGACTAAAACCATCAAAATGTAAATTTGCACAAGATCAAGTGAGATACCTAGGCCATGTTGTGGGACAAGGACAACGAACCCCGGATGAAGTAAAGATCCTGGCTGTAAAGGAGTATCCTACACCTAAAACCAAAACAGAAGTACGTGCTTTCTTAGGACTGGTAGGGTATTATCGCCAGTACATACCGAGATTTTCGGAAATTGCTTCACCCCTCACGGAACGGACGCTTTGAAGGGGTAACAAAAAAAAAGGAAATATACAATGGTCTGAAATATGTGACAAAGCTTTTAAAAATTTAAAAGAGTTGCTATGCAAGAAACCAATTCTGTATGCTCCCGACTTTGATAAAAGGTTTATTATACAAACCGATGCCTCAGACAATGGCATGGGTATAGTACTATGCCAATTAGATGATGAACAACGTGAACATCCTATCTTGTATATAAGCAAAAAATTTACTAAGTTTGAAAAGAATTATTGTACTACTGAAAAGGAGTGCGCTGCTATCATCTACGCTATCAAGAAACTGCATTTTTATCTGGATGGTCAGCAAGAATTCTTGATTCAAACTGATCATAATCCTTTGGTCTGGCTACAATCCAACGCCAAATGTAACTCTAGATTGATGCGCTGGGCACTCTCATTACAACCTTATAATTTTAAGGTCATTCATCGCAAAGGATCTTTGCACAAGAACGTAGATGTTCTGAGTAGAATTAAGTAATGTAACTCTTAGTGTATGTAACCACGTTTAGAATTAATTTTATTGTTTAATGTATGCTCAACTGATGTATTTGAACGTTCTCCATTTCTTTCTTTTTAAATGTGGTGTAAAAGTATTGTTTAAAACTTAAAATTTTTTGGCCTGAAATTTAGAAATTTATAAGAGAAATTAACCTTTGCTCTTTAAGCAAATGAGCAAGCCGAGCTTATAAACTTGTCGAATTTTACAGAACTTTTCCCTTCGGTAAAAGTCTCTCCGTTGGGGGAGAGGTTGTAACAGCTTTAAATAGTATTAAAATCTTGTAGTTTAAATAATTTAAATAGATGAACATTAAGGTTATTTGTGAATGGCATATTTTGAAACCAGACTCGAGTGCCACGTGCGACTCTCGCACGAAGAATGTAATTTATTTTTAAATGTTAGAATATGTTTCTTTTCTTGTTTGTATGTCGCCATTTTTTTGAGTGTTAAATAAAAGTTATTGCTGTGTTCCATCATTGGAGTTGCTTCGTTTCGCCAAAGAAGCATCACAGAATTCGTTCGCTGCTCCATTTTACAGCCACTGGTACACGATTACATAGAAATGTTAAAATACGTCATAAAGTTACCTTTTCCGCATTTAGTCATTCATACAGGACTGCACATGTATATCTTATGATATCCTTCATCAAACTTTGTTGTCGTACCTCGTATATGTAGGATGGCATAGTCTTTATGGCTTTTTTCTCAAATAATTGAAATAAAATCAGGTATGGTAGGAATGAGTTTTTTCTGTTACAAAAATATATCATGTTAAGAAGTTATTCTTGTACTGTGTCTTTACCTAATCTAAACCTTCATGATTTCAAAAGCTGCGTTGTTACTAACGTGGAGATAATAACAAAAGATGAAGAGCTATATGAATGGTCTTTGTGGAAAGTTCGAGAACTGTGAAGCGTTTCTTCTGAGAAAAAAACATCAAGAAATTGGCTGCAATCTTGGCATTGTCCATAAAAAGGAAAAAAACCACATATAAGTAAAACGTGAGCGGTTTTTGTTTCGTAAATTACTTGTTCATTTTGTCCAAATTCAGATGAGTCAACGTCAGCCGCTTCACTTTTGAAGTGAACTCTTCCAGTTATTCAAGATCGGGTCACCAAACGAAACAAATCATTGCCTTGTTAGACTCGCGAACGTTAGGAAGATCACTTTAAGCTTTTCAATAATTTTTCTGAAAGAATACGTTAAATACGCTCGATCATAAAAATTCATTGTGCTTGAGAACATTTCATTTCCATCTTGCACCAAACAAATGGTTTTTAAAGCTACAACATAACAGTATTTGCAACTGAAATTCGTGTGATGTATTGTGTGCAATAGTTAAGGATATGATCTGTTGAAACAATTTGTCATTAGTATCCGTTTTGTAATTTCCACAATTTTTGAAAGTTTCATACGCATTGATTTTTGAATTTTCCCATGTAAGAGATTGATAGCTAAACACCACCGAATAAAGAGTCGGATTAAGATTTTGAGTGGCTCTAAGCAGTTGAGAGGTTTGGGTACCCTCACATGTTTGATTTGGTACCCTCCCCATGCACCAGCTTTTCCTTCACTCCTCCTTTCTCTTGGTTTTGATTTAGCAGCGTCATGCATTCTGTGATAAAACCGGCAATGGAAATTTTTTGGTGCCCCTTTCTTGAATACCTAACGACCTTTTTGGGGTGCGCACTTTCCATAAAGCACGTGCTTATAAGCTTAATGGTTGATCCAGACTTCGCCGGATACATTGTGCAAGATAAAAGCTGATACTTGTATCAGGTGTTTAGTTAGTGACGAAAAAAGTATTAATCAAAATATTTAAATCTTATCGATTTACTTTATGATTTAACGTAATGGCTTAACAATAAGAAATTAGTCTAACAATTTATAATATTTTCTTTATATTATATGAAATCTTTTATTTTCTGCTTTCAGGCTCATCCCAATCCTAGCCATAACTGGTCTGAACACATTCTTCGAGCTATGCGTATTCCAAACATAATGCACGAAGATGTTCCAAATAAACCTCTTGACTATTACACTTGTGCTTTCAAAAAATCTAAGCTTGATAAGTAAGTGTTGTTAAACAATTTTAACTGCTAAAATAACATTAATTTTTTATCAAATTTAGAATATTGAACAAAGGTAATAAAAATGAAACAAAGAGAGTAGAAGTAGCTTATATAGTTTAAGAAATCAAAATTTATAAAAGCATTTTATCAACTTTATTTGTTTATTTTGTTGATCAGTCAAGAAAACAAGATTTTCTTCTTTCATCAGTACTTAATACTACTTACAAAATTATTTCGAATGGTTCTTTTTACTTTTTTTACACTAAATAATACGTATTGTTTTTATACGTCGTGTATTCTTAGCTATCATTATGTTGGAGATTGTTTAGTGAATTATCACCAAGTCTTTTAAAGTACTACAAAGTCAGGATAAAAGCGTAAAGAACCCTTTATGAACTCAAATAGAGTTTAACTTTCGTTATCAACGCGTGCTAACAGAAGCCAATACTTATAGCTTAAATCAAAACGTAGCGAATGACATGAAAATTCATGAAGCATAGCCTAGCAGCTGAACACTTTAGTTATTGAGCAGGCTTGCACGAACTCGAAGTCGGCGTAAGCAAGCTTAATGGCAAGAATAACTCAACGCTGCAGAACTCTAATCTCTAGAGAATCAAAGTTAGTAGCGTGGCCTTCGAGTAGGCAGAACACGCTCTGATTTGTCTCCCCACAACGCCTTTTTTTTTTTTTTTAAATACTTCCTTCTTCTTTCTTAGTTTGAATATCGCTCATGCTGGAAATTCGCATTCTAGGTGGGGAATGAAAGGAGGTTTGAGAGGAAAGGCACTACATCAGGTTTAATTATATATATATATAAAAGTAGCAAGACAACATGAATTAGAGAGACCTTAGTGGTCAAGAATTTTGCGCACTGAGCTGCAAATTTTTTAATTTTTTAAAAATTTTATAAGTAAGGGGAATGTTTAAAAGCTAATGCTAAAAAAATACATTTGACACTATAGTTCCTTAGAAAAAATGTAAAATCATTTTTTTACATATTTACTGTATATTTGAAATGTTTTTAAATTTTACAAGAGTTCTTTTTTAAATTCTTTGTGCGTTAAAATTTCTTTATTATTTTATTATTTTTTATCACCCATTTTTGATTTTGAAATCATCTCGATTTGTAATTTTTACATTTAGTTTTTACAAGATAGCTTTTACTACTTTAATATTGTTTCTAGTTCTTACATGATTTTACATTTTTGCTAAGGAACTATAGTGTCCAATGTATTTTTTAAGCATTAGCTTTTAAACATTCCTCTTATAAATAAATATATATATACTATATTATAAGGTATTTCTCCCGCCTTCCTAGCCTGCCCTCGTGGTGTGCTGGTCTGCGCGCTGTGTGCGTATTCCAGAGGTCCGTAGTTCGATTCCCGGCGAAGGCGTTGCTCATTTTTCAATCTCTCTTGCTTCCAAAAAATCCTAATGTCTCTACAATATATATATAGAGAGAGGGTGTTTCATCAAATCAGTTGCAAACTTTCAGGAGGGAAGAATACACTTAGACGATGGAAAATCACATAGCAATGCATGGTCGGAAACTCTTTTCTGGCGTGGTAGTGACGACGCAAAACATAAGAAAGGAAGGACAAGAGCAGGGTAAGAATATAAGTTTATTATGCTTAGCGCAGCGGAAACCAAGAAATAAGAATAAAAACAGACAATCATCATCAAAGAAGATGTTCGAAATTACGTTCAAACGTATTCTCAACATGGGATCGGCAGGGGTAGTCCGGTGCATTGACTAGCAAGATCGCCAGACCTCACTTGCATTAACTACTTCCTCTGGGGGTACGTCAAGACATTGCTGTACGAAACTCCCCGTTAGAAGTGCAGAGAACTTGTTGCATGCATCGTAGCAACTGCTGAAGAAGTGCGGGACATTCCAGGTTCTTTCCAGAATATCAGATCTTCCATGTGCCGGAGATGTGACGCCTGCATCAGGGTCCGGTCTCGTAATTTCAAACATCTTCTTTGATGATGATGAACGTTGTCTAATTTTGTTCTAATTTCTTGATTTCTGCTGTAATAAGAATAATAAACATGTTTTTTCACCCTGTTCATGTTCTTCCGTTCTTGTGTTTTGTGTTGTTACTACCAGGCCACTAATCGACCATGCACTGTTATTTGATTTTCCATCGTCTAGATGTACTGTATGTCTCCTGAAAGTTTGTAACTGATTTCCTAAAACACCCTGTATGTGTATGTGTGTATATGTATGTATATATGTATTTTATGATAGCTATTTTAGTTGACTGGCCGCTCAAGCATCCAGTTTGTTAAAAGATTACATATAAGAGTAGTATGATTCCATATTACTTCAAGAAGGTAATATCAGAGTTTTCTATTTATTGGATTATTTTATCGTCAAGTCTTCGTATAGTACTTATTACATTCTACTTAAGGGATTGAAGTGGAGGATTTTTCTATTTATTTTTTCCGCCAGTGATAGGATTTGCGTATTTGTGCAGAAGTTTACTTTACTAACTCAGATAGCAGTTACTTTATCTATCACAAAAACCTGGTACCTTTGATATGTTCTTAAATAAACTGAAAATGTGTACATTCGTTTAGTAGAACGGATTATTTCAGTAGAACTGGTTTAATATTAAAGAAAATAGATGATATTTTAGAACTTTTTTGTGATCTTTTATGAACTGTGATGTTTCCGTCTTGCTTTCTTTTCTCACACGATGTCTTATACGACGAAATTTACCCCTTGCATTGTTTTCTCCGAGATACTTTTACATGTAGCCCTTCTCCTTTTAGTTGTTTAATTATTTTATGAGTTTCAAATAAAAATTTATTTTATAATTTTTTTAAACTTTTATTTACATGAAAGACAGGAAACTGTATCTATATCCATAAGTATGTGGGTCGCGATGTATCCTGACTACATGCGTGTGGGTTATGTAACTAAAAGATGCAGGAAACTTTGGATTAAATAATATTTTTTTTTCTATTTTAGATTCTTGGGCAGTGATAATCAAGATGAATACTTCAGCCGTACCCAGAGAATTCGTATCGTGCATGCTATTTTGCAGACCGCAGCTTACGGTAAACGTCGAAGAGCACAAATTGGTATCGATAGGTTAACAGAAGAAGGAGCTTACACTGCTGCGTTTCCCCTTCATGACGTAAGTTCCTTCAAAATCTTCGTTTCATTCATTTTCTGAAAATTCTTCATATGTAATGTAGAATTTAATTTCATTTCTTAAACATAAATATTAAAGTTAATATCAATGCCCAAATGCAGGAATGCGCACATAAACAATATGCGATTCTTGGAAGTTAGTTGCTAAGCTTGCATAGTTTTTAAAACAGGAATATACAGAATAATACATTGTAACTTCTAAAGGTGCATAAATAATTGAAATTGCTTGTTATGAAAACTACTAGCTGATCTTAAGAAGTTGTAGAAGCTTTCACGCGATGATGTAGCCGTCATTATTATTACAGTTTTGAGGGGGAAAATTAATTAACTCTGATCGGCCCTGTTGAACAGGTTTTAAGCCGTAGACAGTCAGGGAAAGTAAAGTTGCTCCTTCAGCAATGACTGAACAAACTCGTCGACTCAGTGTCGGTTCGTGTTTCCTTCGCTGTGACTAATGAGTTCTTATAGCAGGTTGGCATAAAGTAAACATTTAACTCTTTGGCATAGGTAAAGGCCAAAAGTCTGTTCCTCTGAAGCATCTAGAACGCTCGAGTATACGAATTTTGTTGGAATAGATTTCCTTCCACCGTGCCTAGTAGATTGCTGCACCGTTAATAATTACTTACTTAAGCGATTACTTCTCTCTTGCACTTTTCTATGTGTAGGATTTCCTGGAACTTGTCTTGTAGTTTAGAGACACACCGAGCTTTTTTGGCGTATAGTAGTAGTGTTGGAGCTTTTTCTTTGAAAAATGGATCTTGTGGTGAACTTGCAGCTATATTTGGAGTAACCCGACTTCTAATCATTTTATGTTTTCTCCTTTCTTATAAAAATTATTTTAAACGACCAGGCGCACGAGTAGCTTGTATTTTAAATTCAGAGAAAACTTTTTCGAGAATTTCCGTATGGACGAGATTGTAGAAATAGAAAATGCGAGATGTGTTCTGTTGCATCAGTTTTTTCGTTACTTGATAATATAGTATTGAAACCGATATACCTCAAAAGCATTTCCTGCCATCTTGCAATCTGCTGAGAACCGAAATCAATAACAAGATGAAAGGAAGTTTTTGTTGCCTCTCTTCTTCCGATTTCGATGAATAAATGAATCGATAAAACTGATATATCACATGGGTGCTTCGCCATACAAGAATGCAATACCTGCCTTAAGAAAGATGGTGGTGAATTTCAAAAACATGTTTGTTATTCTGGGAGACTGAAATGACGTTTATCAGCAGCTTTAGATTTGGATATATGGATTGCTATTCTGAACCTGTATCAATATGGTATTTCTTGAAATGGCTACGAAAATTTTAAGCAATAAATTTGTAGTCGATGACTAGAAAACTGTTTCGAAGTTTCGAATTTTATGGGTGTAACCCCCATTAAAACACACTTGATTCTTGAGAGGAATTTTTATTGTTTTTAATGGTAACACACTGATGCAGTTTTTAACCTCCAGTAAGGACGTTCACATTAAATGTAAATGAAATATATTAGTCATTTTCTTTGAGCTGAATTTTTCACTTCCTTTAAGAAATAAAGAAAGTATTGAAATCGTGAAAAAATTCGGGTACCATATTTCAACTAAAATATCCATTTTGACGACTCTGGAATCCATTTGAACGATGTTTTTCCGTGACATTTGTACGGACGGATAGAATAAAGGGCTCTTTTTTCCAAAACGAATTGTAAAACAGATTTTAAATAGATTCAGAAGAGTTTTTTTCGCGAGTAAGTAAGTACATACGTACTTATGTATGTATCTCGCATGACTGAAAAAGGAATAGCCTCAGGACTTTGAAATTTTGTATATGACACTACAATAACATGCAGTTGGGCACCTGCCTTTTTGGTTGCAATCAGCCGCACCAACATATAAATATATATATATATATATATTAATCAATTTATTTTCAGTAGGTTATTGAATATATTATCTGCTTTAAATAGCTAAGTTAGAATTCTATTGAAATATATTTACTCATTAGCATATTTAAAACTGAATTATTAAAAGGGAGTAATTAAAAGCGAAAGTGCAACCAACAAACTAAGTAATTAAGTCATTATCGCCATTGATGTATATTATATACAAGGTGATTCTAAATTGTTTTTACAAATTAAGAGAGGTGATAGTACTCATCCAGATGAGCAATAATTACCATAGAACATAGGGTCGCATTCCACTCTTGAGAGGCAGAAAAGTGGAATATTAGAATTCCAATAGTGTGGGAGATCGAATGAAAGAGACCAAAAATTGTGCAATCAGTTTAGTGAAAAACTCACAGAGGGTGCACAAAACGGATAAAACCGAAAACTTGGCGTTCGAGTGTTAATTCGAGTTCAGACTTTGAAGGCAAACACTCAGATGCACATCTTTGGTTCGCTAGGTCTCAACCTCGCAAACGATTGTAACAAATTAATTATCTAATCAAGGACTTAATATAATCAACTAGCTCCATCTTCCGCTGTATGCCGAGATTAAAATGAAACGTTCATGCTGTGTTCTGGCTGTCAGAACTTCGTGTCCAATAGAAGGGCGTTTCGAGTAGAATGAGCGCAGTACAGTAAATCCAGGAGGACAGGATAGAAGATGGCGAAGGGAGAAACAAAACTGCTACCTTTAATAGTATCAAACCTACCTTGAGTTGGAGTTAGTTGATAATATTTAGCCCTTGATTAGATAAGTAACAATGCAATTTTGTTGCAATCGTTTGTGAGGTTGAGACCAAAGATGTGCATCTGAGTGTTAACCATCAAAGTCTGAGCTCGCATTAACACTCGAACGCCAAGTTTTCGATTTTATCAGTTTTTGCACTCTCTGTGAGTTTCTCACTAAACTGATTGCGCAGCTTTTGATCTGGTTCATTCACTTTCAGAACACTGTTGATGTACATTAATTCTAAAAAATTTAGTCGCAGGCAGTTTAAACGAGGAAGCGAAGCGAGGAGTTGTTAGCAAGGTGGATTCAGTCAGTTTGTGCACCAACTTCAGTGTTTCTTACCGAGTGGGACCAAAAGTAAATTTTCAGTTTTGTGCGCCGAAAAATCTGTCTTCCTACCCTCTAGCCAAATTGCTTGTTTTTGCCTGGAAACTGTAACTTTAATTATATTTAAAAAAAATTAACTGTTTTTAACGGTATTTGTAGTTTTTTTTTCCCCGTGCTGCGACGTGAGAACTTACTTGATTGAATGGGAAATATATGTCTAATGAAATTGTAGGAAATAAGTTTAAATGAAATGCAGCAAAAGATGTGTACAATTTAATAGGCCGTACAAGGAAAACATGTGGTGTCCATACCAGATATTTTTCATTAACAAAATTCAAGTAAACCCTCGAAGAGCTGTCTACAGTTTTCAATAACATGTCCTAGTAAATAAAGTCTATTGCCATTTGAAAGTCCTGTTTGCTTCAGGGCACGTGTGTGAAGCCTCTGTTATGTATGTATTTTCTTCGAACTGCTGATAAAAAGGTTGGCCTTTGAAACCACTGGGATCTAAACACTTAGATATGTGCAGCTGGAAGCCGGAATTTTGAATTTTCAAGTTATAAGCGAACTTCGTGAAATTTTGATTTACAGTGTGTTGCCGCTCGACAAAGAATTTCATAATTGAAATTTTTAAAAAGTCACGCTTTCTGTGTATTTTTAATTTCAATTTAATTTTTAACTTAAACGTTAAGTTGTACGAGGTGTTAGACTGTAATTTAAAATTTTCAGCTTAGCTTTTCACAATATAATTAGATCAAATATACAGCTTCACCTCAGATATGTGTACACTGTTCTGCTTGAACGCAACTCATGGCCAACATTTCAGTTCAAAAACCAGTTTTGATGCTATGCTGGAACCTAAAAGTAATAATTTAATCAGTTTCCTTCCCTCTAGATTATTTACCATTTTTAATTAGAAGTCTTGCTTGCATTTTGCCATTCTTGATTGTACGCGAATATCAGGTATGTACTGGTATCGAATCTACGTTGCATCATTCTATGCCACTCTCGATTCTACACAGCCTCATTACAAGGCCTGTGTCGATCTTCTGCTGTTGTAGATTCTATGCAGCGTCAATCCCATGCTTGTGACAGTCGTGTGCCGGTGTCAGTTCTATGCCTATGTTTCTAAGCCTGTATCAATCCTGTACCAGTTTGATTTTACACAACGTTAGTCCTACGCCTGAGTCGTTTCTGCGTCGGCATCGATTTCGCGCAACGTCATTCGTGTGCCTTTGTCGATTCTACGCGCAGTCATTCTAGTGGTTTTATCGACCGTGCACCAGTGCCCAATATTTAAGTCGATCATATCAATCCTATGCCTGACCTCTCTTCGGAGTAGGCTCTGGCAACCATCGTTCCATGTAATATAGACACGACAACAACAACAACAATCGTATGCCTGTGAAAACTCCTATTCTGGTGTCGATTCTACACAACGTCAGTCGTATGCTTGCTTCAATTTTGTACCGATGTCGATTATTCGCAAATTCGCCAGGGTCGATTTTACGCAGTCATTCCTATGCTTGTGTCGATGCTGTAAGGTGTCGATTATGCACCAGTGTTTATATCGATCCAAACAGCTGTTTTAGCGATTAAGAATACCTCATCTTCTACAATAGTTTCCTACGTAAACTCTCTTTTTGCTTTAATTCTAAACAGCAAAATTCAAATTCCATGGATCAAAGGACATAGTGACCATTTTAATAATTATCTGGCAAGCAAATTAACCAAGGAAGCAGCTCTTAATCAAGATGCTGTTGAAATTCATCCTTTCATGGGCTCGTTCAAATTTCAAATAGCAGCTAAAACAACTTACTTCAAAATATTTGCAAAGTTTGTGGAATAATGCTTCACAGAGAAGATGTACATATAATTTAATTCCGGATGTAAGCTTCACATCTGTGTACTCGAATCCTTTATTAAATTACTATATAATATTACACGGCTCCTTTTCCACATATTTTTTTCGCAAGAAATATGGCAAACTCCGACAT